ACTTTCCTAGCCATCTAGCTATCCGTCCGCCCACGGAGGAGCAGTGGCTTCGTAGGCCTGCCCATCCCCGCTTTGAGCCGAGCATCAGTTTTATAACCTGCCATCTGCCTCAAAGCACTTCTCCGTAGCGAGGAGGCAGAGGTAGCAGCCCGCCGGGCGGATGCCTTCTTCTTCTTCCTCTCCCTCCTCCCTGAAACAACGAAAGTAGGACGCTGCTGGCTGGGTCGCCCTGCAGGGGAAAGCAGGGCCACGCTGGACCGTGGCCTCGCTCTTTCTTTGAAAGGCGCTTTAGCCAGCTGAGGCTCCCGGCAGCAACGCAGCAGACAACCTCTACCCCGAAGCACGCCAGAGCCGGGCCAGCATCCGTGAGCTCCAGAAGCAGCGCCCGAACGCGGCTCCGCCCTCGCCGGGCCAGATCCCTCCCTGCTCGGGCTATCCTCCACCTCCTGCTCCCCTCGTCTGGAGACGGATAGAGCGGTGTCTCGGTTCCTAAGACCATCGGAAATATGTGTTTTCCGATGGTCTTAGGCGACTCCTGTGAAACGGTCGTTCCACCCCCAAAAGGGTCATGACCCACAGGTTGAGAACCGCTGGTATAGGGGGTTCCTTGCTCAATAGTAGTAACTGTGAGAGGGATCTTGGAGTCCTAGGGGATAATCACTTAAATATGAACCAGCAGTGTGCTGCAGCTGCCAAAAAAGCCAACACAGTGCTAGGCTGCATTAACAGAGGGATAGAATCAAGATCACATGAAGTATTAATACTTTACAATGCCTTGGTAACGCCACACTTGGAATACTGCATCCAGTTTTGGTCACCACGATGTAAAAAAGATGTTGAGACGCTAGAAAGAGTACAGAGAAGAGCAACAAAGATGATTAGGGGACTGGTGGCTAAAACATATAAGGAATGGTTGCTGGAATTGAATTTGTCTAGTTTAATGAAAAGAAGGACTAGAAGTGACATGATAGCAGTATTCCAATATCTGACCGGTTGCCACAAAGAAGAGGGAGTCAAGCTATTCTCCAAAGTGCCTGAAGGCAGGACAAGAAGCGACGGATGGAAACTAATCAGAGAAGCAACCTAGAACTAAGGAGAAAGTTCCTGACATTAAGAACAATTAACCAGTAGAACAACCTGCCTCCAGAAGCGGTGAATGCTCTAACACCGAAAGTTTTTAACAAGAGACTGGACAGCCATTTGTCTGTAATGGTATAGGGTTTCCTGCCTGAGCAGGGGGTTGGACTAGATGACCTCCAAAGTCCCTTCCAACTTTATTATTTTCAAGTTGCAAGTCCTAAAGTCCTCTCTAACATGTTGCAAATGCTCAATTTCAGAAATGAGACCTTTCATTTAGTTGTTCTCTTACCAGAATCCAGCCTCTCTTTTGTCTTCATCTGTGTTGTCCTCATCTTATCTGTTTCTTTAACCACTGCAGTATTACTGCCTTTTTCAAACTCTGTCTGCAAGCTACCCCCCCCTTCTGCCCAATGATACTTCTCCTTTTCTTATCCTGTTCTCCTTGCCTTTGTTTGCCTCTCCTGGGAGAGTCCACCCAGAAAGGAGGGAGATCTCATGTGTTTCAGCCCTACACAGATGACCCCCCCAACCTTTGGAAGCAGAGCAGATTGACCCAGATGCTGCCTCCATCCATTTGAGCCAGAGAATTGGGTTTGAATCCAGCCATCCACTAAAAAGCCACCATGCAACCTGGACAGGTTGGAACAGATCTTCCCAAGTCCTACCATTCCCCTACATGCCTGTGAAAGCTGCAGAGGAAGGAAGGAGTCCTGGAGCCATTGGTCCCCACGTGAAGCCTCAGAAGAAAATTAGGAAGACTATGGGGGGGGAGGGTGGAAACTCATTGTAAGGTTTTCTTTCTTGCCCCATTTGTGTTGTAATTAAGCAGCTGAATGTATTTATGGAGTGATGGCATTTGGGAATAGTTGGCACAGCAAGTCCTGAACACCTTGGACTTCTGTCTGGTGGGAGGGAAATTTATCGAGAATGTTTGTATTGCCTGTTTTTATTAGTAGCTGCACGCACGCACACATACACACACCATTCATAATCACACTAAGTTATCCCCTCCACCTACCTTCAGTAAAGTTCCCCAGGCTGATTTTGCTGTCGCACCAAAGCTTTGCATGCACAACTTGCTGCAAATTCCAAGGAGGAGGGAACCAGGTCCCTTCAGGTGATTTGCAATTCATATGCCCTCACTGAGGAGGTAGCAGAAAAGAGATCTCCAAACCTGAGCCCTGAATATCTTGCACTGGTGGACTCAGATTGGGAGTCCTAGTGCTCACTATGTGCAATTTAAGAAAATTTAATAGCCTGGCTTGCATACTGGTTAACCTGAATTAGACATTATAAACCTGGATACACTGAACTAAGAACTAAGGCAGGAAACAACCCTTGAAAATGGGGAGCCAGTGGTTATGTACTGAGGCAAACCATGGCTGTGAAGAATTTTGGGAGGAGTGTGCAAACCTGACTGGAAGATCAGTGACATCCAACATTTGAAAATGATTGGCACAGAATATTGGACACTATATATTTTTTTCATCTTACAGAACTTTTGCCCTGACTTTAGACCTTTATGGGTTGGAAGCTACCCGTTTTGGGAGCCACTGCAGGGATCTTTTTCTGCTGCCTCAATTAATGTCTTCTTTTTTTGGCTTAACAGTTTAAAGGTTGTTTACCAAGTCTCCCTGACCAGATCAATTTTAATCTTGTGCCAGGAAGTGTGTCATTCACACACTTATGGCACAAAGGGGGGATTTGTGGGAAGTCAGCCCCCAGAGAAGGAAATATTAAAAGGGCAGAAAAATATATTTCCTCAAAGGATCTTAAAAAGGCAGAAAAGCATGCCCAGTTTTTTCTTAATAACCCCAAGTCTCCCTCTCCCAAGCAGAAACCAGCTCTGTAGAAACGCAGATGTAAACCATTCAGGAAGGTTGAAGCTAGAAGATTAAGAAGACAAAGACACCTAAAATCTACATACCCCACCCAAACTCTAAGACGGGACATAATCAGATTAACCAACAGATGCCAAAGGGCACTCAGACTCAGGTCAAAATACATGACACAGGAAATACAAAGCCTCAAACAGGAACAGGAAACAATCTCAAGAGTCCCAGAGGGTATAAAAACCTACTCCCTACATGTGCTCTCTCTCTCTTCTTCCAGAGCCATCTTTCTGTCTGGCTCTCCTCTTCAATAAACTACAATCTTCTTTCTAAAGCAGTCGCCATGTTGTTTATTCCCGGCTTGGACTGAACCATGATGAAGACTTTTCCTTCAACAGTTTACTTGTAAGTTTAAATTACTAAGTAAAAAAATTACTTTAACATTGTATAGATGCCACTTATTTCCGTTTACGAAGCTGCCAGTTAACATATTTGATGATATGAGAATGGAGAATATTATATTAGTCCAGGGAACATACTACTTTGAATTAGATGTAATGGCAAAGTAAATTCAAAGCTTTATTTCAAAGTTATTTATTTAAAATCATAAAGCTTTCCCCTTGGCTTTATGATGATATCATAAAAAATAACCAACCCAGAATGCAATAGACTTAGAAAAGCCTATTTTGAAAAGACAATCCAAGTTTTATTACATTAAAAAAGAAAATTCAACATGCTATTCCTAGCTCTCCAAGACAGTACAGGATTGTAAACTAATCATTGTCCCAGTGCTATATATCTGTATGCTGTATAACAGCTGCTTGATAATCACCAAAAAGTTACTCAGTTAGTAGAGGAAATTCTTAAGTTGCCTCAGCAAGTTCAGATAGCATTATCATCCCTCAAGATTGCAAGGTTTTTCTTGGCATCTCAGGAAAAAAATATTAGAGGCATAGGGGCTTGTTTCTAAAAACTTCAAAGCCTCTTGCAGTTCGTATGCCAGACAAAAAGAAACTAGAGAGTCAGTGTGGTGTAGTGGTGAAGATGGACTAGAAAGCTGCAGATTGTGAGCTCCAGTCCTCCCTTGATCAAGAGAGTTGGCTGGGTGACTTTAAGGTAGTCATTGTCTCACTGTCAGACTCACCTCAAAGGATTGTTTTTACTGTAATAGGCAAGAGCAGTGGTGGCAAACCTAGGGCATGGGTGCCAGAGGTGGCACACAAGAGCCCTCTCTGTGGGCACACGTGCTGTCACCCCAGTCCTAGGCCTTCAGCTGAGTTTTATAAAACCTTTTCGCTTTAGGCCTCCGCCGTGTGCAAAAAAAAAAAAAGGTTCAATCAATCAGTCAATTTCAACTTCTTGCGGGGGGGGGGGGGGGAGATCTTGCAAAGTTGGAATTGATTGATTGAACTTTTTAGTCCCACCCAGTCTGCCATTACCACCCCAGTCACGGCCACCCAATGGGTCACACCCACCCAATGGGCCACACCCAGCCAATGGGCCACGCCCACCCAGCACCAGATGATACATAAGTGGGTTTTGGGTTGCAATTTGGGCACTCGGTCTCTAAAAGGTTCACCATCACTGGGCAAGAGTATTAAAGTATATTTGCTCCCTTGAATTATATATTAAAAAGTTGAGGTGAAAAACCCACCTCAAAAGGTTGTTCCTGTGAGGAAGATAGGAAGCAGAAGTATGTTTGCCACCTTGAGTTGTTTATAAAAATAATAAAGACGGAATAAAAATTAAGTAAATAACAGTTATGGGTTACGGTTGTTGAAAGAAAATGTATATTTTGAGTTTACGTAAAAGAGCTACTTTTTCACTTTCCATCATCCACCAGATGACCCCATCGTTAACATCTCTTAGAAGCACTATTGCTTGTCCCGTTGCCAACCGATACCCTCCCCACAAGATTCAAGAATTCTTCTAATCCTCCACCAACCTCACCCCCCAAGTCGGATCCTCCCAAGCAAGTTTAGGAAAATACAGCCATCCTCTTCAAGGCATGGATGCCCATTTGAAGTGCGAAGACTGTTCTCTACCCCTTTTCGCAGGTCACGAAAACTCTGCCGGAGTTACTCTTACATGAAGGCAGCCTCTCTTCCTTCCCCGGAGACAGCTAGGCTGATGAAAACACGGACAACGGTCGAGCGGAGGGAGGAAACTTTCAGTAATCCCCCGTTACCACTGCAAACGGAATGCGCCGTTCGAATTTGGCGGGAGCTCCACCCCTTCCTGTACGTAGCGTTGCGTCACGGCGAAAAGGCTGGTGGAGAGGTTAGTAGTCTCTTGGCTTAAGGCCATTTCGTTGGCCTGACGAAGACCTTGCGTTACCGGGGAGTGTGGAGGGAGCAGAAAGCCTCCTGTCGGCTCTTCTTTTTCTTAATGTATACCGACTGCTTTTCTTGAAGAGCGGAGCAAGGCATAGTAACTTCCTATAGGCAATTGCTGAAGTCCAAAAATTGGAGAGCTGGAGATCACTAATGTCCCTTCCCATCCCGTAAATCAGGGTCTTCAAACTTGGCTCTTTTATGACTTGTGGACTTCAACTCCCAGAATTCCTTAGCCAGCGTGCCTGGCTGAGGAATTCTGGGAGTTGAAGTCCACAAGTTATAAAGGCCAAGTTTGAAGACCTGCGGTAAATCCTCCGTGTCTTCACATCCCAGTGCTGCTTCCAGCTTTGAGTTAGCAGTTGGGTTCTACTCGTGTCTTCCACTTAACCCTGACATGTGAAAAAACTAGGGCTCTCACAACCTATGATGTTGTCTTTCTGGAGATTAAAAAGGGATAAATAAAAATATATATATTTAAAATTAGTAGCCCTTTTTCTTGTATTGTACAAGCAGATCACCAGATCTTTCAGCCTATCTTTTGCTCCTTGGAGGATAGGTCGGTCTCGTCAGACATTAAAAAACCAAAGTTATTAGGAAAGAAAAGCAAAATCAGCTGCATAAAAACCCTCTTAAACTTTAAATATCCAAAACACAAAACTGGAAGAGGCCACAGGATGGTGCTAATCTGCTACAAATAGAGAACTCTGCCCTAGAGTCTCTGTAATACTGAATAAATATATTAATAAATGCAGTGCTTTTTTTGTCATAGAACTCACCGGAATGGAGTTCCGGCACCTTTTTTGACAGATTTTCCAAGTTTTAAAAGTAACTTTTGAAAATTTGATGTTTGGTCCACATGGACTTAAATCACCCTGTCGAGCGTAGCAGGTCGGTGACAAAATCATTAAAATGGTGCATGCGAGCTGCTTGTGTGTCGAGTCCAATGCATGTGTACTTCATCCGGCTGCTCGACTGAGGCACTGCTATGCTTGTGGTTGCTTACTGTGGGTGATGATTGTTATGTTTTGTTACACAACTGACGTGTGTGGGTGTGTGTACAGTGATTGATTACGTGCAAAAGATAAATAAAAGATTAACAAGATGTGAATTCTGGCACATTTTTTCTTACAAAAAAAGCACTGAATAAATGATTTCCATAAAGAAAAAAAAATTCTGGAATATGGTAGAACCTGAAATAGGAATTCAGCACTCAGTTTCATATACTGTATTATAAAAAGGAATTACAGTAGAACCTTGAACATTCAAGAATATCACCTAGGTTCATGACTAGACTTTTAGTAAAATTAACTATTAGAATTCCCATTAAGCAGTTGTTCAATTATTTTGGCATGCCCGATTCTAGACAAGTTTGAGTTTTAAGTTTCAAATTCTGGTTTCCAATTTAGCCCAGTGCTTGCAACTCTAGTTCCCAGTTTCTTCCTCTGTTTCCCGCTCCAATTCTGCTTTTATTTAAAATGATTCTAAAATATCTTTTCATGGACAAAGATAAAAGTTGCTCATGTTATCTGACATAATCTCAGGATATCCCACATTTTGAGGATGGATGGATGGATGGGTGAATGCATGGATGGATTTCTGGCATAAGGCTGACAGATTGCAGTATTGTGAATTCATAATACTTCTGTAAAAAAGACAAGAGAATCAGTGGGGACTTGGGATCACCCTATAACATCCAGGAATGCCTGCATACAGATGCTGAGATTTTATTTTAACATGTTATAAAGAACATGCAAATAGGACAACATATGCGCTAGATTTACCTCCATCCATATGAGAAACATCATCAAAACTCTTAGTGACAGTTTTAGATGCATATTTCAGCATACTTCAGTTGCCTATGAGCTGTGAAGAGATGCACCACAAAGTGGCACACTGAAGATGCCAGCCACAGCTGCTGGCAAAATGGCAGAACAAAATACAACTAGACCACAGCCATTCAGCCTGAAAGTTCATCACTGTTTCATTATGATGCTATGCCTTATACAAAATCAGCAAGGGATCTTCATGATGCATTTGGCAGAATGAGCCCTTAGTTTTTGTCTTTCTATGAAACAGAAAGACAGTGACATCTGCCAATAAAAATAATATCATCGTTCAGTATGATTCAACCCATAATGAAGCAAAAATTGACAGTTTTTTTAAAAACAAATTATATTTTAAAGTTCTCTTGTGAAACATTAAAGTTATAGAACCTGGAAAGAAAAAGGAATAAAAAATAGCAATGGCTTTGAAATTGTACATTATGATTATAACTATTGTTCATTCTTCCTAACAAGCATACCAAATGGACTTAAAAGTCCAAATCACAGATTTTGTAAAAAATTCATGTTTTTATATATTTCTATTTTTTTTAGTTTCATTATTTTTAATGTAAAAAACCTGTCCTTTTGTTCCTCTCTTGTTCATATGAGAGAAATCTTCCAGCAGGAAGTCAGAAGTTGGTTCTGCTCCTGCCACTTTATCTGTCCCTGCTCACTAGTATTGGCCAGCAGCACCCCCCATGCACCCTTCCAGGGCACAGGGAGCACCCGCACAACTGCCCACACTTAATAACACCTGTACCCAGCAACTCCCTCCCCCACTATTTACAAATATTGCATTGCAGGGAAAGTGAAATTTCTAGAGAAGTTCCAAGCAACGTTATTTGTATAGGTTACACTTAGGCAGATTATTTTGCTTTACACTTAAGAAAATGTGTTCTCATCTAGCAAAACTGACTCACATGAATAGAAGGATAACAGAAATATACGATAGACAGAACTTTATTTTGATCATTGACCAATAAAAGTACAATCAATAAAATGAATAACACAAAACTGTTCCCTAAGAAGAAATGTTAACAATCATTTGTGGACGAAACATATACATAATATAGTAAAATTTTGCTTTTTTAAGAAAAATAAAGTCTGCCTGTTTATATGTGCAGACTTAATAGGTAAGTTATTAAAGGTACAAAGATGAAATCATAATGCCAGTATCTATGTAGATTGGGATTGGATTAGGAGGATAGGACTTTTTTGGACTTAAAAATAAGCCCAAATTGCAGCGAACAGAACAAGAAGGCCAACCAACTTAAACCAAATGGGCACTGAGGCATTGTTGTCTGATTGGGTAACTAGCCTGGTTCTCAAGGGTTTCAAGATCCGTTCATGCTGGGTCAGGATAGCTTTCCTGGCTCCCTCCCATTTTCCTGGCCGTTGCAAGCGATATTGATACGGAGTACATGGCCCAAAGAAAAGCTCCTGGGCCAGCTTAGGATCTGTGATAAACCGGGACCATATGTTGGGCTTGACCCCAATCAGAGAAGCCAGTTTATCCATATAGTCTATGTAGTCCACTTGGATGGTGTGGCGTTGACTTTTCACATACCTGAAAAAGACAACCAGGAGGACGAATGATTAACAAAGCAGCCCAACTCTACAATGATTGGATGACTTATAGTAAATACAATCACAAAATACAGTCTAAAAAGCCCAAACAGCAGAAGAAAGAACAACCAATGAAAAACAGTACAGCATAGAAAACCCAAGGTTTGGAGAAAGAGCCAGGTTTTCAAGGCTCTTTTAAACATGGGAGTGGGGGCAGGTGTACCTTAGGGCAGATGTTCCAGAAGACAGGTACTTCAAGGAAGAAGATACTTAGAAGATACCTGGCCTAGATATTAAGAGCTGTTCTGAGTGTGAGGCAGATGAAGGGGAAGGGAATCCAAAAGGTTTTTCTCCAATGATATTAGTTTTATCAGAGCTGCATTTCTAAGCATAATTTAGATAATAATGTAATCAATAAATACAGACCTCACAAGGAGCACCTAAGCTAGCAAAAAGTTTTTATAACCATGATTTTCAGTATTTCCTAAAGTGAAATCCCATTTCAATCTGTTTTCAAGGACCACCCATCCCTTGGCTGCACACTTGGCTGATGGTGTCATGGTTCCGACTAATGAAACACTTCAAAGAACTTCCAGCCATTGTTTATCCTAAAAGGTCTTTTTATTCATGTGACAAAATGTCAGCACCGCATGAAGAGGGGATGCTAAGATCTGAAATCTCCCCCCCCCCCGAGCAGTTATTTTTGCTAGCATTTTCCCTCCCTTATTTTGCTGTCATGATTCACGTTCTCCAATTAGTTTGAAGGGCAAAGGTTCTCTTCCATTTGTAACTCATATATTCTTCCTCCTCCCCTCCCAGTGTTTTCTGAGTTAACTCTAAAAATACCACACAGCTCTGCATATTTTGTCAGAGCAAGAACATCCAATGTTAGCAGCTTTGATATCTGGCCCCCCTTTAAAAAAAACAGATCCTGGAATGTAAACAAAAGCATATGTTAGGGGCTATTTTTCGGTTTGTTGGGGTATTTCGCATGAAACCTTTTTTCAAACATATTTTATTGGTTTTTCAACTTTAACAGAAAGTACTTAAAACACACCGTGGTGTTTGGGCGAACAAACGTTCCAAAGTAAAAACATACATAGATAACTCAATTTAGTACATTCACTGTCATCTCTCTATTTCCCTCAAATAACATAATAGATTTAATATATTCCATTTCTAGCTTAAATTTCTATACGACTAAACCTGTTTTGAAGCTTTATCAGTTTACAATTACCATAATCAAATATTGTTTTACTTCAACAAATTATCACTTCAAGTATCTTTTCCAAATATATTCAAACTCTTAATCCCTCTCATCCTTGTTTTTATCACCAATCTCATTTATTTCTTTTTCCAATAATTACTAACTTAGTTAAAAAAAATGTTAAATCTTAATTAATTTCAACTCATTAGACCAACTTCACATTGCATCCAATTACTTGTCATACCTTATCAGACCA